AATCCACTCATCATCCATACAGGAGATACACACAGAGAGGCTTTTATTCTGAAGGATTCCACTCATCATCCATACAGGAGATACACACAGAGAGGCTTTTATTCTGAAGGAATCCACTCATCATCCATACAGGAGATACACAGAGAGGCTTTTATTCTGAAGGAATCCACTCATCATCCATACAGGAGATACACACAGAGAGGCTTTTATTCTGAAGGAATCCACTCATCATCCATACAGGAGATACACACGAGAGGCTTTTATTCTGAAGGATTCCACTCATCATCCATACAGGAGATACACACAGAGAGGCTTTTATTCTGAAGGAATCTGTCTATATCAGCGTATTCAGAAGCATATGCACACAGAGAGGCTTTTATTTTGTAGAAGTCTGCTTATAAGTCTGACGTTTACAGGAGATACACACAGGGAGGCTTTTATTCTGAAGGATTCCACTCATCATCCATACAGGAGATACACAGAGAGGCTTTTATTCTGAAAGGTACTCACAACCCATACAGGAGATACACAGAGAGGCTTTTATTTTTTAGCATTCTGTATATATTACATAACATTACATTGCATTTAGCATATATCAGTGTATTCTGAAGCAGATACATCCATGGAGGATTTTATTCTGAAGGATTCCACTCATAATCCATCCAGGAGATACACAGAGAGGCTTTTATTCTGAAGGATTCCACTCATAATCCATACAGGAGATACACAGAGAGGCCCACTGGTGTGAAAAATGTGAAACGTGTCTGAAAGGAAGTTATAAAATGCTTCACAGTGAGATAGAGGTGTTTCTGAGGGTGGGGTTAAACTGAGTCGTTGCATATTTATAATATTTGTTGGATTACATCATACCAGCACGACTCTTATCTTCTACTTAAACTCACCTGTCTGCCATCAATATATATTATTTTCTCGTCGATGTACGGCTAAAATCTCTGAAAATGTCCACTTTCTTTCTCTCAAATTAATTTAAAGTGCCGGTACCTGCTCGTGGTCCTCCTGCTGATTGGACCTCCTGCGGTGAGGGAGTCTGATGAGACGGTTTTCGGCGCACCAGTCCACGCCGTCGTCCAGGAAGCAAAGACCTGCCTTCGAGACGCCGCCGACGGCCATCTTGTCTTCTTCATTGAACCTGGCACACGATTGGTCGAGCCCCGAGTCGTCCTCGTCGTTTTTGGAGGAGAGAAGAAGTATTCCCATCCCTCCGTTTCCTAAAAAACACAAGATGAGATGAGACGGGGAATTAGGGACATTGTGAGGGAAATAAAATCAGACAAAAACAACTTCTCATCTTAGAGAACATCTGAATTATCCCATACATAGATGTTTCTCGTTAATGCAGGAAATATGTAAATGTCACCTCATAAGTTGCCGAAGATATTAATCATTTTGACATCAGAGAATATCTAAAATATGGTACATTTCTGAAAGAACAATAACCCTATAATATAAATGAATCAAATTGCCTTTAAAGTTGCACTAACCCACTCCTAACACATCTCAAAGTGTGTTCTTACCGAGGTTGTCGAAGTCGTCCATGTATTCCTGACTCGTGTCGTTTCTATCCAGAGACGAGTTGGAGGAGAGGCTCATGTCCTCCAGCGTCTCCCCCAGAATCGACACCTCTCTCTGGACTACCATCGCTGCCGAAAGCCCCCTCTCCGGAGCCTCCGGGGGGCTTTCTACAAAGTGAGGGAAATGAAATATAAGAAAGTAGAAAGATACAGATAAGATGAGGAAAGAGACATAAGGGTATATATACATTTACAGGAAAAAATATATCACATTTTAATTTTGAAAATATATAAAGTCTACGGGAATATGTTGATTATTTTTGGAGATTGTTTTGTACGATCATAAGATGACATCAACAATGATCAAATGAAAGAGACATGTGATGGTTTCTACATTTACGGGAAAACATGAGTTTTTTTGAGACAACATTTTCGATTATTTTTCCGTAAATGTACCTCTAGCATCTCAGAGAATATAAATGTTTTTTCTTCCAGTTAACTTGTGGCTGATATCTGATATAAAAGTCAAAAGTTCACTCGAAAAAAACCTACAAATAAACTAGAAGAATTTCCTACATTTACAGAAAAAAACACTGGTCCTTAAATAAAAACAAAAAACATAATCCTCTGAAAATAATAGTTATTTTTACAGCAAAAATGTTTTCGCATCACTATTCCAATAAAATCACCTCTTTGACTAATAAAAAACCCAAGATTTTTCAGCAAATGTTTATAATTGATAATGTATTTAAAGACAGGGATAAGTCGAGATCAAATAAAAAAAATGCTAACAGAAGAAATTTGTGTTTTGTACGATGTTTACAAACATTATCACGTTAATAACGATTTCCCACCTGGGCTGTTCTCTGTAGTCGACGGTGTCTCCACGGAGTTCCTTCTAGCCGTCGGTCCTCGGTTCACTTCCTGTCCGCTCCCATTGGCTGTGGTGACTCTGAGGGGGCGGGACTGCTTGATGAGCGACGGGCGTGACAGCCTATAGCTGATGCCGCTGGGCTTGGAGGCGGGACCAGTGCTGGGGGGGAGGAGGAGGGGCTTCTTTAGGGGCAGGAGTCCAGATTTTGATTGACTCTTGGGTTTCACCAAGACTCCTTTAGGGGGGATTTGAGCGGCGGCCATGTTGGTGGAGGAGTGAGATAAGGGGGAGGAAGGGGAGGGATTTAGGGGTAGGGGAGGGGGAGGGATTTAGGGT